ATGTTTAATAGAGACGGGGTTTCACCATGTTGGCCAGGCTGATTTCAAACTCCTGACCTCAGGGGATCCGCCCACCTTGGCCTCCCGAAGTGTTGGGATTACAGTGTGAGCCACTGCACCTGGCCAATATTTTTCTTTGTATCAAATCACAGTTGTTTTTTGTTTAACTGATCCTAGGCAATAGTATCTGTGAAATGGCATGTCCAGGCCAGGTTTGGTGGCTCACGCCTGTAATCCCAGCACTATGGGAGGCTGAGGTGGGTGGATCGCTTGAGCCCAGGAGTTTGAGACCAGCCTAGGCAACATGGCGAAACTCTGACTCTACAAAATATACAAAAATTAGCCTGGCATGGTTGTACACGCCTTTAGTCCTAGCACCTCCGGAGGCTGACGTGGGAGGATTGCTTAAGCCCAGGAGGTGGAAGTTGCAGAGAACCAAGATCACACCACTGAACATCCAGCCTGAGGGACAGTAAGACCCTGTCCTAAAAAAAAAAAAAAAAAAAAAAAAAAAAAAAAAAAAAAAAAAAAAAAAAAAAAAAAAAAAAAAAAAAAGATATGTCTGTTGTGGTGGTTACATATATATTTTCCCTAACACATATTAAAAATATGGTACTTATAAAAAATAAAAATAAAATGCATCAATCTGTATTATCTAAAATCATCTGTGCAGCACTGTGGTACACTTTGGAAAGCAGTGGATTCTGCTTGACTGTAGTCAGAGGGTTTGTAAAGTTTGCACAGTGCTCTCAAAAAACCAATAACCGAGGACTATAGGGAGCCTCTTCACTTGCTGCTCTTCTATTTTGAGACCAGGGTCTCTCTGCTACCCAGGCTGGAGTGCAGTGGTACAATCACAGCTCACTTCAGCCTCGACCTCCTGGGTTCAGTAATCCTCCCACCTCAGACTGTTGAGTAGCTGGGACCACAGACAGATGCCTGCATACCCACCTACTTCTCTGAAATTTTTTGTAGAGACAGGGTCTTGCTATGTTGCTTAGGCTGGTATCAAACTCCTGGACTCAAGAAATTCTCCTGCATCAGTCTCCCAAACTGCTGGGATTTCAAGTGTGAGCCGCTGTGCCCAGCCCCATTGTTTTAGATGGATAAATTTGGGGATAAAAAGACATGAGATTTCTTTTTAATCAATTTTTAACAAATTCTTTAAAAAACGTTGTTAGCAGCAGCACTTTCCTCAGGTTTCCCTTTATTACGTTTATATAGCATTCCCTATTTTAAAAAGTTTCATAGTTATTTCTCTTTGCATCTTAAAGAATTCTTACACCATTCCCACTTCCGTCAGTACCTCCAGATTGGCTCATTTTCTTACTTAGATTTCATTTAAGGATAAGTTGGATGAACAAGTAGTTATTACAAACAAAATACACAGTCCTCTAGACAGCAAAGGTAGCTATATGGCCTTGAGGTTTTGAAGAATATGCCCAGTGTTGTGTAATTCATATGAATCTTATTGATTTTAACTCCAGTTTGTTTTTTCATTTCAGTTTACCAATCCTTAGAAATGGGTTTATATGTTTCCTACTGCAATTACTGAGTCATAGCAGTGCTTTAAGAAGTAAAGATGAGAAAAATATGGAAGTTAGGAGATGAATTCTAGTCCTGACAGCTAATCAGCTGATCTCTATACATCTTCATTTTTCTATTTTGTTAAATGAGCACAGTAAGAATTATATAGAATGAATATAGGCCAGGCACGGTGGCTCACACCTATAATCCCAGCACTTTGAGAGGCCAACGTGGGCAGATCGCTTGAGCCCAGGAGTTTGAGAGCAGTCTGGGCAACATGGTGAAATCCCATCTTTACTAAAAATACAAAAAAAATAGACAGGCTTAGTGGCGTGTACCCATAGTCCCTGCTACTTGGGAGGCTGAGGCACAAGAATTGCTTGAGCCTGAGAAGTGGAGGTTGAAGTGAGCTGAGATTGTGCCACTGCACTCTAGCCTGGGTGACAGAGAGACCCTGTCTCAAAGAAAAAAAGAATACTTTCACCATTCTCACGGGATAGTTGAAATAACATTATCTGGCACTACGTAATAAATGGTGAAACACATGTGAAGTGGTGATAGTAATGATTGAGACAGGTAGCTTGGAGCCTTGAGGACTTCGTGTCTTCTACGATGTCATCTGCAGGTAACTGATTAGTGTGTTAGTTTAACATACAGAGATAGTTCTGAGATTACCTCACTGAAACAGCTGTTGGTGCGGCTAATATCAGAATACTGACACTTCCCTGAATGCAATAACAATGAGGATGTGTGGATGTTCCTATCTTCCTAATGTAATCTCTGCATTTGTTTTCTGAGACCCTTTGAAACAGCCCCCACCTTTTGTTGTCTTTCAGTCCCAGAACTCATTGATGGGAAGACATTCACAGCGACCGTGGTGGGTTTGAACCCTTGGGTTGAATATGAATTCCGCACAGTTGCAGCCAATGTGATTGGGATTGGGGAGCCCAGCCGGCCCTCAGAGAAACGGAGGACAGAAGAAGCCCGTGAGTAGCACCCGGGATTCAGATCACCTGTTCCTTAGGGAAAGGCTTTGAATTCTTGCTGCGCTTCAGTGCTCATGTGGCTCTATGTTGGCATACCCTTCCCCTTAAATGATGATAATGATAGAAATCAGGCCAGGAGAAGCCCAGCTGAACATGCAATGGGTTTCAATCAAGAGTTAAGTTTCTTCATTAGGTCCACCTGTACAGCAGGAGACACACTGTGCTTAGTCCTCTCAAAAGCCAGTCCTTTCTTCGTTGGTTCTTTTGTCACCAAGATTCTAACAGGACTTCAACAAAATGCCCCATATTTCAAATCGAATTATCTCACATTAGTAACTAATGGCAAAGAATAATTTCTGGCTTCTCTGGGAACAGCCACCATGAGGTAGCCCGGCTAAGAATAAAAATAAAACATAATTTCTTCCGAAATGTTCACCAAGATTTTCTTAGGGTATAAACCATGCCCAAAAACTAAGTTTCAGAACATCCTGCTAATACAGCAATTCAGTATGTCCCTTTGCATATACAGCTTGAATGAGCGCGGGGAGAGAGAAACAAGTTCATCAGGGTCAGCCATACTTTTTTTTTTTTTTTTTTGAGACAGAGTCTTGCTCTGTCGCCAGGCTGGAGTGCAGTGGCACGATCTTGGCTCACTGCAACTTCCGCCTCTTGGGTTCAAGTGGTTCTCCTGCCCAGCCTCCCAGGTAGCTGGGACTACAGACATGTACCACCACATCCAGCTACTTTGCATTTTTAGTAGAGACGGGGTTTCACCATGTTGGCCAGGATGGTCTAGAACTCCTGACCTCAGGTGATTCGCCCACCTCGGCCTCCAGAAGTGCTAGGATTACAGGCATGAGCCACCACACCTGGCCAGGGCCAGCCGTACTTTTACTTATCTCATGTAAAGCAGGAGGCCTACGTGTGCAGTTCCCAGCTGTGGAGAGCCCACTGCGTTGAAGGAAAAGCAAGCCCCCTACACAAATGGGAATTCTGACCCTACTCTCAGAAAAACAAAAGCTCATCTAGATCTATTTGACTGGCTTTAACCAAGGAGATGTACCCAGTCACTAGCCACATACCCCAGTGAGACATTTTTAAACGTGGCCCAGAGCCTTTCAGCCACATGGTGACAACAATATAGCTGGTCCCCTGCTTTCTTTTCCCCTTTGAAAACCATAATTGAATTAATTCCCCTCAGCAATCCTGAGGTGCAAGTTCATATAATTTCCTAAAACTGGTGAAAAAGAGGGCAAGCACAGTGAGCCACGGGTCAACCTCTGTCTGCCACTTCCTTCAACACCCAGATCAAAACTGTCTTCCTCCAAGAAGCTGTTTGCCCACCCCAGCTCTGGGCAGGTCGCTAATCTGGAGTGCCCCCGTGCTTCCCCACGCTGACTGTACCTTTCTCTTGTTGCTGACCTTGCTCTAACTGTGGTGCGGACACTCTCACCCTCCAACCAAAATTGTACTGTCTTTCCTTTGTGTATCACCACATGGTTCATGAACGCTGAACCAAACATTAGGACAAGGCCTCAGTCCTTTCCCCCTTTCCAGAACCCCTCAGCCTCTAGGGATGCAGCTGAACAATTGGGCAGACATGTCAGGTAACATGTGTGCCTTGTTGAATGGAAAACAGGTAATTAATAGCAGTCTCGGTACATTTCACTTCCTGGAGCTGATGCCTTGGGCTGCTTGAGATGCTGCTGTTGATCTCCGAAGACAAAGGGGCCTGCCTCAGAGTACTCATGGAAAGTGAGTCACCTCTGCCAGGCAACCTTCCTGACCCTCATTCGCCTTTGCTGCCTGACATAACTGTTTTCTTGTCTCCTGTGCAGTCCCCGAAGTCACACCAGCGAACGTCAGTGGTGGCGGAGGCAGCAAATCTGAACTGGTTATAACCTGGGAGGTAAATGAATCACAGAATAAAAGGAACATCCATGTGTCAAAGCTATTTTATTATTTTCCTTCCTGTTAGATAGACATAGCTTGAAAGTTTCCTCCTCTGTTTTTAATGGTGAAAATTCATTTGAGTGCAGACTCTCCCTCTCACGTAGCTGATGGCTAGCAGGAAAGACACCACTTGCCCATCCATTGTTGAGGCAAGTTTTAATTCGATCCATCAGAGTAAAAACAATCATGAAGGGAAGACAACACAAGCTAAAGAAAGAAAGAAGGCTGTTTCAGAGAAAACCAGTTTTTCTTTTCTTCCTGAATTGCTGCATGGCCAATTGATTTAAAACGTCTGCTAGCAATAGATTCAGTGCACCAGCACAATTTCCTGGCAATTGGCTTTGCTTCTAGAAGGGGCCTTCTTTTAGGAGGTAGTTTTTAAAACAACCTGGAGGAAAGTTAGTCACCAATTTATTAAAAATTGGCTTTGAGAGAAGAGGTGGGAGCTTTAGAAAGGGTTTGTGTTTTTGAAAGATTCTAAACAACAGCTCCAGAAATTAAAATCTTTCATTTGCCCAGAGCACAGCAGTGAAAAAAATCACTCATCCCTCCGGCTGAACTCTTCCCTCTGAGAGAGAGGATCTTCAGCCAAGATCAAAGGATCAGTGAGATCTTTTGTCTATTTGGCAGTGGAGGGAGATTAGTATTAAAGGATACATATTGGAAATGTTTTTCAGGAGAACAATGCCCATTTTTTTTTTACAATCATTTCCAACTGTGTCAGAGCTGGGTCTGCCCCATCAAAGAGCAAGCTCTGGACTGCAGATCTTCATTAAGTTTTTCAACCCTGCCCAGTACTTTGTAACTGCTTAAGATAGACTAACTGACTATAAGCCCTAAATTTAAAAGACTTTTAACAAAACCCCAAATAAGATGGGTGGAGAAGGATGTAGACAAGAATGTTATAGGAGAAACAAAAACAATTTTTGCATTTGACTCAAACTAGTATGATTTCTGAAGACCACTTCCCTTCTTTCCCAGACGGTCCCTGAGGAATTACAGAATGGTCGAGGCTTTGGTTATGTGGTAGCCTTCCGGCCCTATGGTAAAATGATCTGGATGCTGACAGTGCTGGCCTCTGCTGATGCCTCCAGATACGTATTCAGGAATGAGAGTGTGCGCCCCTTCTCTCCCTTTGAGGTTAAAGTAGGTGTCTTCAACAACAAAGGAGAAGGCCCTTTCAGTCCCACCACAGTGGTGTATTCTGCAGAAGAAGGTATGGTTTATGCTGCCTAAATCATTGCTTGTTAATATTTCTTCAATTCTTTTTTTTTTTTTGAGATGAATTTTGATTTTGTTGCCCAGGCTGGTGTGCAATGGCATGATCTCACTGCAACCTCCACCTCCCGGGTTCAAGCGATCCTCCTGCCTCAGCCACCTGAGTAGCTGGAATTACAGGCATGCGCCACCATGCCTGGCTAATTTTGTATTTTTAGTAGAGACGGGGTTTCTCCATGTTGGTCAGGCTGGTCTTGAACACCTGACCTCACGTGATCCGCCTGCCTCAGCCTCTCAAAGTGCTGGGATTACAAGTATGAGCCACTGCAACCAGCCATATTTCTTCAGTGCTAAAATGTGGATTTTAGGATGTATAATCAATTTAGCATGGTACATATATATTGAAGGCATCCCTGATTTGAGAAGAGGATAATGTAAAAAATTTGGTTCATTGTCCACCATGAATCTCTTGAAAAGATAGCAACTGCTCTGTATATGAAAACACATGGCTATCCATTATTGATTCCATTGCTAAGGACCAGAACTGCTGGTACTATATAAGATCTTCATGTCTATCTACATGTTACATTACTTTCAAAAGAATTTTATTTTTTCCTTTAAGTGAATATCAATATATAATTTGCATTTCCTTAACCACTTGTATTTTCATAAAGCATATTGTGCTTATAATTTATTCTCACTTATTAAACAAAAGAGTAAGTCATGAAACAGTGTGATTGTACTCATTGTCATCCATACCTTCATTATGTTTAACATTTCCCACACATTATTACCACTTCCATGCTATTCTTGCTCTCAGGATGCCTCTCACACAGTTTTCATTATCACTGGAGTTTGCCTATGTTGTTTTAAAGATGATGCTGAGAATGAGACCATGTGAAAACATCTGAAAGGTGAATCACTGATTTAGAGTCAGTGAAGATGCAATAACTTCTTCCTCATTAGAGAGGTCATCCCCTTAGATTCAGTAGCCCTTCATGATCTAGCTGCTGCCTTTCTGTCTGTCTCAGCTCCTGATGCCTTTCCCTGCATATTTCATGTTCCAACCATTGCCAAAGGATTTAAAATTATTCAAACAAGCTTCAGCCTTTGCATAGGCTTCAATTTCTCTTAGATAATAGTTCATGTCTCTGGATTATGAAAATGAGAGGAAAAGGGGAAAAGGACAGTCAGCTGACTTTACTAAGATTCAAGAGAGCTGGGTAACACTTCAGGTCCACACTGCAATGTGTATGATCTTGGATAAGTCACTTATAGTTTCTGGGCCTCAGCTTCTTTGGCTGCAAAGGAGAGGCTAGATTGACTGTTTCCCAAATTTCAGTTATTTTTGCCGGATTTCTGCCATAGCTGTGTACCATTTGTGTATGTCAACATTTTTCTTCCAATAGACTTCCTTAAATAAAAATTTAGTGGCCAAACACAGTGGCTCATGCCTGTAATCCCAGCACTTTGAGAGGGGGATGTGGGAGGATAGCATGAGCTCAGGGGTTTGAAGCCCACCTGGGCAACATAGCAAGATACCAATCTCTACAAAAATAAAAATAAAAAATTAGCCGGGCATGGTGGTACTTCTGTGGGCTGTCCCAGCTACTTGGGAGGCTGAGGTGGGAGGATGGCTTGAGTCCAGGAGGTCAGGCTGCAGTGAGCCATGAGTGTGCCACTACATTCCAGCCTGGGTGACAGAGTAAGACCCTATCTCAAATAAGAAAAGAAAAGTAGTTTAGCCATGTTGTAAGCAATAACATTTGTGAGATGCTAATTAAGAATGATCTGTGTGAAAGGAATTGCTGGCTACGAAAACTTGGTGCTAAAACTTAAGTAGTTCTCTTCCACCCACACCTAAATTCAGAACCCAAATACTGGACGAATATTCACTACCACCAACTCTGGCTATTAATCACTGCTCCTCTGTAAATGAGTTTGGCTTACAATCATTAAGGACACTTCTATAACCATGAATTATTTTACCTTATAATGCCAGTATCTACAAGCCTGTCCTAATATAGCTGATAGAGTAATAACTACTTCCATATTCATCTATAGAACCAACCAAACCACCAGCCAGTATCTTTGCCAGAAGTCTTTCTGCCACAGATATTGAAGTTTTCTGGGCTTCCCCACTGGAGAAGAATAGAGGACGAATACAAGGTTATGAGGTAAGCAAGAGATATATGCCTTGGGTCTGAAAGAGGACTTCATCCATGAGTGAGTCCTCCAAATCACATTCTTATGGGAAAAGATCCACATTCACATTTAAGGGCAATGGTTTTAGGCCTGGCTTTCAGCTGAACACTAATGGAAGCATTGAATACTCAGCTGTGAAACTACCCTTTTTCTGTGTTACACTCTAGAGATATTTTTCGAAGTATATGCAAATCTAATCATTTATGAGATGGTTGGCAAAATGAGCTATGACTTCTGATATGCCCAGCATTGCTTGGACTCAAAACAAACATGGGAAAAAAGAAAATAATGAACAAGGGTTGTGTCGATGTACCATCTCACTAGGAAGCTAAGGACAAAAAGGAACCCTTCTTACTGTGGATAATTTTCTCAGGATATACAAAGTCCTTTGTCCTGAAAGCTCTGCCCATGATGTGGTATAGAAAACTAACTCCATCATAAGAATCTGCGTACAAAATTACCGGATGACATTGGAAATATCCTTACTGAGTATGGTTTCCAAGGTCTTTCTGTTTATTTCTTAGGTTAAATATTGGAGACATGAAGACAAAGAAGAAAATGCTAGAAAAATACGAACAGTTGGAAATCAGACATCAATAAAAATCACGAACTTAAAAGGCAGTGCGCTCTATCACTTAGCTGTCAAGGCATATAATTCCGCTGGGACAGGCCCCTCTAGTGCAACAGTCAATGTGACCACCAGAAAGCCACGTAAGAACAGACTTGCTCAGAAATATTTTGGGGATTCATCACACATATCCCAAGTTTATTTCCTGTCCCCACCTCCCAGTGATCATTTGCATACTAATTGGTAGCACGTGGATTCAAATTTCCCTCAGCATTTTAACTGAAACTTTCGGAATACCATGCAAAATTCATTGCTCTGGAGGACGGAAAGATAAATGTTTTTCTCCTCACTGGGAAGGGCTACTTCTTTTAGCTATAAATGTTAGGCGACCAACTGAATCTTTTTCCATTTGCAATGCTGTATCTCATCAGATTTTAGTGACCTTGAAGACACATATTAGTGCAATAGCCCATTAAATTGCCTCCACTCTAGAATTCTAGTAAGGAGATATTCCTCAGAATCCATTGAGATTTAATAATCTGTGACTTCGTATATCTTAATTTTTTTATAGCACCAAGTCAACCCCCCGGAAACATCATATGGAATTCATCGGACTCCAAAATTATCCTGAATTGGGATCAAGTGAAGGCCCTGGATAATGAGTCGGAAGTAAAAGGATACAAAGTAGGTAATTTCTTTTTTGCGAAGGCACTTAATCCTGCTGTGAGTGGGGACAGTCTCCTCCATGAATCACACAGTTGTCCGTGTTGTCAGTTTCCCTCGTGATGCTCTCCTTCCCTCTAGGAATCGCCGCCTCCAACATGGCTTGATCTGAGTTGTATAAATAGTCTATGGCAACTGGTCAGGATTTAGATAATCACCTTAACATTAGGCTGAGGCAGCATTAATCAGAAATGGATAAAGACCCTGTGTTTAGGTCTCCAAAGATACCCTGAAGAACTACCTTTTAAACATTTCTGTTGTCAGCTTTGTTTTGTTCTTGTCTCAGTTGAATTTTTTTTAGTCAACATAGTAACCTCCCAGTATTACCAATGATTAATCATTTTTGTTCATATGTTTCTATAGTCAGGAAGAGTTATATAAAGAAAAAAAGAAAAAGAAAAAGCAGCTAGAATTGGAGAAAATGTTTATCTGACCGCATAAATGTTGGCCCATCTTTAATGAGAACATGTAAAGAACATGTCTGTAGCTTTGTTGCTACAATTAAAAAGGGTTATAAATATCTTGGCAAGGTTTCCAGCTGCCTATTGCTACCTAAAAAACCAACCCAAAGCCAGGGGCTAAAATAGCAACAATGTATCATTTTTTATGACTTTGCAATGTGGATAGAACCAAAATGGGCATATTTTAGGACTAGAATAAGAAAGATGCCTCTTCACACACTTCTGGCTTCTTAGATGGCATAGGTGGGAAAGCTGAGCCTAGCCAGTGATCACGTTCTCCATGAGACCTCTCCCCACGGAGAGGGACTTCCTCACAGTACGGTGACCTGAGGGTAGTCAGACTTCTTACATAGTTGCCAGGTTCAAGAGGAAGAAGCAGAGACAAGCCCTTTTAAAAGCTAAGGAAGAAACTAGCTACTGTGAGGCCAGCTCAGATTCAAAGGCAAGGAAAATGGATTCTACCTCCTAGTGTGAGGAGCAGCATACATGTGCAGAGAGGGAAGGAACTGATATAAACCAGACACATGTAAACCAGAGCATGCATTGTGAAGACTGACTGCATTGAGAAGTCTGTGACTGCATTGACAGAGAGAAGACTGCATTGAGAGCATGCAGTGAGAAAACTGCATTAAGAAGACTGTGGCCAGGAGGCTGACTCAAAACATCTGAAGAATGAACGAACTGAGGTTATGCCGCTGGGTACAAAGCCTCAGAAGCATGATAATGACTTCACATATTTAAAACACTATTATAAGGGATGACATGTAGAAGTTTTCCTCAAGTTTCCAAGGAACAAAACTATGGCCATTGGGTGAAAGTGACATGGAGATAAATTTTGGCTCTGTTTGGCCTTCTAATAATCAAACCTCATAAAAAAATGGACCCTCAGAGTGTTCCCCATCACTGGAAATAATGAAGCATTACCTGCATCACCACCTAAAGAGAGGTTACAAAGGGAAATATAATATGGGCATTTAAGTTATATGGCATTTTGTTCCCATTCAGTCCTAGAATGTTATGAGTGAACGACTTTTCCAAAGCTTTTGAGAAACCATAATCATTGGTGAATGCTGACAATGTTCTTGATCTCCAGTGGTTTTGTATTAGTTCTTCAAAAGAAAAATGGTTATGGCAATTTTGCAAGTCTCACCATTCTTATTACATAAGAAAGAGTATAAATCTGGGAGTGGTGGCATGTTCCTATAGTATCGGCTACTTGGGAGGCTGAGGCAGGTGAATTGTTTGAGCCCAGGAGTTTGAGTCCAGCCTGGGCAATGTAGTGAGACCCTGTCTCTAAAAATAAATAAATTAATTAAATGGAAGATTATAAAACCAAACCTAGGATTTTGAAATTTTTTCAGGCAGAAGAGCTTGGAAGTCAACAGGAAGTCAACATTTTCAGGAATCTTGTGAAATGGTCTTTTATCTACCCCAAAGTAAATGAAAGGATGGCAAAATCATGCCTGCTAGATAATATAAATTATTACCATGGCAGAAGCATGCTAGGTGGGAACGATAGCTAATGAGAGTGCTGCTGTCAAAATGTACCAGCTGCTACTAACTTCCAGCCTCTGTTGTCTTGTGAAAAAGTGGGCACAATGCCCTAGATATGCCAATGTTTCAAAAGATGGCAGCAAAAAATGGATTGTTATGTAAAATCTTCTTCCAATTTAAAAATGTTGGCAACTCTTCTAATTTTGTTTTGTTTTGCTTTTAAACAACACTTGAGGCAGTGGAAGTCAGACCACATAAAATTGCTATGCAGTCTGAATTAAGCCTGCAGGCTGCTGGCCGGCAACATTTTTGTACAGAGATATTGAGAATAGTACATAGGTAGTGCTGTCAGACCTAGTGAAAGAGCCTGGTATCGGAACCACCATCTTCCAGTAATTTGCCAAAATGACGAACACAAAGGGAAAGAGGAGAGGCACCCGATATATGTTCTTTAGGCCTTTTAGAAAACATGGAGTTGTTCCTTTGGCCACATGTATGCGAACCTGTAAGAAAGCTGATATTGTAGACATCAAGGGAATGGGTAATGTTCAAAAAGGAAGGCCCCACAAGTGTTACCATGGCAGAGCTGGAAGAGTCTACGATGTAACCCAGCATGCTGTTGGTATTGTGGTAAACAAACGAGGGCAAGATTCTTGCCAAGATAATTAATGTCCGTATTGACCACGTTAAGCACTCTAAGAGCCGAGACAGCTTCCTGAAATGCGTGAAGGAAAACAATCAGAAAAAGAAAAAAGACAAAGAGAAAGGTACCTGGGTTCAACTGAAGCACCAGCCTGCTCCACCCAGAGAAGCACACTGTGTGAGAACCAAATGCGAAGGAGCCTGAGCTGCTAGAACCTATTCCCTATGAGTTCATGGCATCATAGGTGTTAAAAAAATAAAAGACCTCTGGAGTGTAAAAATGTTTCTCTTCATTGAGTAGAAATATGGTGTCCTCTCCTCCAAAGAAATATTTAAAGCAAATTTTAATTGCATCCAAATCCATTATGTAATGTCTTTACTATTCAAGTTTAATGTATTTCTTGCTGAAAGATGTGAGGTAGTTTAGTATGCAACAGATTACCTAGAAAACAGCCAGGTATTATGTATGAAATATTTGTGCTGGTTTGAAGATAGTCCCTCTAAATCATCAAAAAAAAAAAAAATAATTTAAAAAAAAAAAAAAAAAAAAAAAGAACCTAGGATCATTAGTGAGTAGTAAGCAAAGCCAGAGCTGGAATTGGCATTGACATAGAAGGTGGCAAAGCCTTGAATAATGTGACTGGAGAAGCACTTGGAAGACCCTACCTGTCATGGACTATTTTTCTTCATACACATGGCACAGTGACTTTATTCCACTAGTAAACATTCCCTACGAAATCATCTACAGAACTGTCACTTGGTCTTTTTCTAAAACTAAACCCTCCTTGGAAGATCATATAATATATAGAAGAAACAGTTAGGAGTCTGAGCATGGTAGTGCACACCTGTGGTCCCAGCCATGGAGGCTGAGCTGGGGGTGGGGCATCAATTGAGCCCAGGAGATCAAGGCTGCAGTGTGTCATGATCATGCCACTGCATTCCAACCTGAGGACAGAGCTACACCTGTCTAAAATTTAAAAATAAAAAAAGAGATAGGAAACCCTGTTTTGGGTCCTCCATTGGCTATGTGACTTTAGATAAATCACTTAAACTCTCTGGGATTGCATTTACTTTTTTATTAAAAGAGAAATTTCTAGTGTCTTCATTTTTCCCTGACCATTTGCATATCCCCTATATCCTTAATCAGCCACTCCGCTTTCAGTCTTAGCTTACAAGCTTTCCCTGATAGACAGAGATCCCTTCATTTACAAGATTTATTATTATTATTTTGAGACAGAGTCTCATTCTGTCACCCAGGCTGGAGGGCAATGGCGCCATCTCAGTTCCCTGCAACATCTGCCTCCCAGGTTCAAGTGATTCTCCTGCCTCAGCATCCCGAGTCACTGGAACTCCAGTCATGTGGCACCAGGCCCAGCCAATTTTTGCATTTTTAGTAGAGATGGGGATTCACCATGTTGGCCAGGCTGGTCCCGAACTTCTGGCCTCAAGTGATCAGCCCACCTGGGCCTTCCAAAATGCTGGGATTACAGGCATGAGCCACCACACCTGGTCTACTCACAAGATTTTTTACAGTATAATGCTTTCCATACTCTTGGGTAATTGTAATTAACTAACTTGTGAATCCCCAGACTTGGGGCTTCCAGAGGACAGTGCTTGAATTGTCACTATTATTTTTCCAGCCAAAGATACATTCACTATAGTTGTATTACAATGGAGACTTCATGTCCTAAACTCCTAAATGATTAACCTCCTAGTGTGAAATAATGTAAAAGAATTTGTCTGCAGTTTTATCTATGACAAAAGAGATATGGGGTGCGATAGGCTGGAAGATGAATGAGGGAAGAAAAGACTAAAAAGAAGAAAAAAAAGAAGGCAAGAATGAAGCTCGTTGGCTCACACCTGTAATCCCAGCACTTTGAGAGGCTAAGGTGGGCAGATAACTTGAGGTTAGGCCTGGCCTGTGTGTGTGTGAGAGAGAGAGCACGAGAGAGAACAGACCTTTACATCTTTTAATTTCTGACACAGGCTAACACTGCCTAATCACTTTGACATTGACCACCATGAAAAAAAAAAAGCAGATGTGATATGGGCAGAATTGATCTAACCAAAACAAGGGAGAGAGTGAAAAAAAAAAAAAGAAAAAAATTTCCTTTCAGGTACACCTGTTAGAACAGGGAGAGAAAGCACAATAAAAATGTAGAAAGCTTAAAGAGTCCCTGGGAATTACATACGTTCCATGGGTGAACTTTTAACTAGATTTGAAGCTTCTTTTCAAGTTACTGCTGAAAGAAAACTAATGGGCCAGGAACTACCTAAGCTATTTCAGGCAACCAGGCAAATGTTAGCTGGGCAAGAAATTCTTGAGATTATCTAGGCAAACCCCTCACTTTACAGATTAGAAAA